CCAGTCTTCAGCCTCGCTGGAAAAGTATCTTACAGAACTAATCTCCTGCTTTCTCTGGATAACTATCGCTGCTTTTGACAATTTTGAAGGCGAGGGCGACTAAAGAACCACGATCACGCTTCGTAATGACGGCCAGCTAAAGTCAACAAACAGCACACAACTCCAAACAAAATGACTCCCCTGTACCGCTATTTGTTAAGACGTGGTTTTAGTAGTAAAAACCCATTCAAAGGATCAAATATATGAAAAAGAAGAAGTATCATGGATATTTTCAACCTTAAAACCACGCAAAAGGCCAATGTTTTCATCGAACTCAGTCTGCAAACACATGAAAGCGCTTGGCAGCCTAAAGTTGATGACCACTGACCACTGTGACGTCACCAAAACGTATTTCTGCGGTGTCCTGTACAGTATAATTATTATAATTATAGTAATTCATGGTGGCAAATAGTTATATTTTTTTTCAGATGGCTGGCGATGAGGCATTGAAAAATGAAAAGTTTGAACATGCATTAGAACTGTACCACTTATCCAAGGTAAGTGGCGAAAGCAGAGTATGACTGATCGATCTCTAGTAGAGTGGTTTCCTACTCCACCCAGGAGGATTAACAATATCATTGTTCACTACTTATTAATAAACAAAATTATTATATGGCTGTGTCTCACAAGGACTGAGAACTACTGAATTCACGAATTTGATTGGCTGAAGTCAATATTGAAAGCGGTCTAGATTTTCCCATCTAGATCGGCATCTAGACCGGTCTAGAAAATAAAGGTACAAAGAATATAAAAAATTGGCATAATTATGAGACACAGCAATAAACATCTTATTAACTGAGCTAGGTCAGTCTGTATGGGAGAATCTTGACCATGGTCGCTGGTAGAGACCTCACTGCATTCGGTCTGTTCTGGTGACCTCGGTCAAGATTCTCCCATACAGACTTCCCGCTCGGTTAATAAGAACTAAGTACAAATTGAAATGTAATGTGGAAGTTTTTCTTCTCTGTTTAGTGCTCATTTGAGAGACGTGTTGCTCAATTTGCAAAACATGGCAGGGTTTCAGACATCCTTGCTTATCTCAGACAGGTAATGATAAATACTTTCCTCTAGTATTTTAATTTTTTTTATAGAAATAAGTCAACTTAAGTTCAGGTATTTCATTGAAAAGATTTTGTCCATTGACTTAATATGTCATTTTTCCATGGTACATAACACTTGAAGGGTAGAAGTGAGTTTGTGTTTACAAATTAAAAGAGGTTTCTTTTTTTTTCATTCATGGTAACACTAATAAAAATGTTAGATGTAAAATCTTTGATGAATTATCATCAAAATTAATACAAAATGTGAACATACCTTTTCTTTGCTTTTCAAGGCACTCAGTAAACACAGTGATGTTCACATTGCAGAGAGGAAACGGCTATCCAATCTTACGCTCTTCTGCTTTATACAACAGGTTCTTGTTAAGCAATACATTTTAGAAAATCCTTATTAAGGTGTTTTACCCTGTGTTATTAGTGTTAATTAGCTCTGGTTAGCCTCATTTATTTTTACTGAAACAACAGACTTCAAAATGAGCAGGGTTGGCATAGTGGTGAGAGCGCTCGCCTTCCACCAATGTGTCCTGGGTTCAATTGCCNATGATTTACAGTTTACTAGTGGTTTTGGCTGTATTGCGTGATGTTGCAGAATACAAGATAATCTTAGTGGAAAGGCTGCATGAATTGAATCTCAATCAGTTGAATTTCCTTCACAGGCAAGAGGTCTCATGGCTGAAACTCTGGACATGCTTGCACAGAAGGGAAAGTTTCATCTTTCTTGTGAACTTCAGGGCAAGTTGGCATCCAGAGGATTCACTGATATTATCAGCAGAAGTGCGAATGGTGAGAAAGACATGATTGTGCAATCATCTGCACAGTACTTTTAATTAGTGAAAAGTTCAATCAAGGGGCATTCATGGGATGATTTTGCACAGTGTTCTGTTGAGTTGACCTGTTCAGAATTCTCTTTTTAAAATTGAAAGAGGTCAAATTTTTTGGAAAGATACTGACATGAATTTTTTGATAAAAATTTGTTTACTTTATAATTGTAAAACTAAAAGGCTTTGACTATTATTTTTCATACCATCATCATTGACAATTTAATATATATGTACTGTACAAGGTTCATCCTTAAAGCAGTAGATGCCAGCTCAGCAAAAAACAAATAAAGAAAAAAAGGTGGTAGTTCATTTTTGTTTTGTAGTGATTTTTAATTCATACTTACCTTGTATGCGGATAACAGGTGCTTTTATACAGTGTATGGATCCTAAGGACGCAGTATCATTTCTGTTGTCTAAGGTACTGTGAGTGAAAATTATTTCATAGGTATAATCTGCCTAAATTTCCTCCATGTACTTTTTGTTTTGAGGTTCAGCTATGTCTTGAAGATAAGAGGAAAGTTTCAACTGAATGCTTGCATTTTTATTGGTTCTTCAGTAACCCTTTCCCTCCCAAGAATGTATTAGTAAATAAATTCTCCATACTGTTTGCTATTCTTTTCCTATAGTGTAACTTTAAAGAATTTGGTATTAGATCAACTAATAATCCCCTCATTGATATTTTTCATTATTCTCGTTATTCATCTGCTTGATATCATATTGATGTTGTAAGGAGAATTAAGTTCTGTCTCGTCACTCATGGGAGTTAAACCAATTTTTTGTGCCTTCCTTTGGAGCCTGAAACTATTTTAAGTCATACGAAGTTCCTTCTTTGTCATCTGACTTCATTGAATGAAGAAAGCTTGGTACACATTGCTCGAGTTCTGGACCCATCTCGTCCTTCATTTAGATCCTTGGCAAGTAAAGTGAGACCTCCAAGGCAAAGGTAAGAATTTGTCATTATTTGTAACGACCAAGCTTAATCAGAAATTTAAATTGCACTAACTGTCAGTGTCAAGAGGGAATAACAACTAAATCCAACAAATAAAAGGCTTTGAAGGTGTTCTCAGGGAACTTTCAGATAAGATTAATGATAAATAATTATGCCTATGAACAGATTGTGATTTACATTTTGCCATGCATCAGTTGTAATGCATACTACCATCAGATGTTAGCAGTTGTGAAATACAGGTATGAATGGTATAAGATTGTGATGGTGACAGTGGTTATTGCCAGTGGTAATAATTATGATAAGGGTTTACATTGATAAGGATATTTCACTTTCATTTAATTTCAGAACTGCATCTGGAAGCTCAATCAGCTCAGTAATTTCTCTTGAAAGTACTGCCAGCTTCGGACAGGTCTGCATGAGTTTGGTTTTTTTTTTTCTTAGACAATAATTATATTATTTCATTTATTAAGTTATCCACACATATTGCTCCAGTGATCACAACATTCACAAACTGATGTCTGTAAAAATTTATTCAACTTCTTACTTTGTTAAACGAACACCATCAGAACTAAAATAAAAGTACAAACAAATTACAAGTGAGATCGTGTAAACAAACGGATATAAAATGATACACTTCATGTGACTCAAAAGTTACAAGACAAAGGAAAAATAACAATTTACAATTAACGGCCAACGATGTTGTAAGCAACTTTCGCTTAAACTAAATTTTATGTCACTCTTAACATAGTTCACAAAAGGAGAATCATTGAAATCTCCAAAGGATGAAACTTTTTTTCAGTGATTATAGTGGAAGTTTTAGTGGAAGTGAATGAGAGTTGGCAGGGGGGTGGGGGTAGGGGAACATGATAAACTGTTGTTATGAATACTATACACTTAACTGGGACAAGATAAGGAAGAGTCAAAAGATTCATTTATCTTACTTCCTGCAAACTTTTTTAAATAAATGTTGAATTGTTCACTTTTGGTGATATAGGAGGATCATAAGCAACCTTCCCTGCATGATCTGATTGAGCTGTTTTTATGTTGTCTTTTGGTTTTAAATCATCTCAGAGATGATAAGTTGGATGCCGATGCAAGGTGTGTGTCCCATGTTATTTATCTTGTATAATTTTATATATTGAGGACTGGGAGATATGTCAAAAGTAGAAGGCTGCCGGCAAAATTCATGTACTTCCAAATTGATTTAGCTTGCATCTCCAGTTCTTTGAGAGAGATGGCATTTTTCAAAAAAATTATTCTGTGTTGGCTAGGAGCCATCTAACCAAGCCCAGTTTCTTCAAATAAGATGTTTTTTTATTGCAGATGTCTTTGAAACAAGGATAGTGTAATTGATACTTTTTTCTGTTGTCTGTGTCCAGAGTTGCAGCATTAAAGTGCATTACTGGTGGAGACCAAGCTTCTGAAAATGGTCCAGGAAGGAAGAGGGTAATTTCAAGTGTTAATAAAAGCTCTCAAATTGTGGTTGATAGTGAAGTACATTCTATGGCACTTTGGATTTTCCATTCAGACCATGTAATGATATCATTATCACTGTTTCTGTTCATAATAGGAAAGTACAGTGGAGTTCCTGTGCAGGCCTGTCAGGTTGTCCTGTGGTCAACAACACACAGCTGTTGTTAGTTCATCAGGAGATGTTTACACATGGGGAAGGTCGCAAAAAGGAAGGTACAATGTACAGGCCTGAATTTTTTCAGGTCTGATTTTCACTATTGCTTAAATGGTGCTCTTTACTGCAAGGATCGTACACAAATAAGGTACATTATGTGTTGCCAAAAACATCTCTGAAGAATTGAGTGTTATATTTTAGACAAAGAAAGTCTGCCAAATGTTAACTTATCATTGTGTATGTGCTTGTATTGTCAATATTGAAAATTATTAAAAACTAGATCATTGGATAATGCAGTTCAAGACTTTTTATTGGCTAAGCCATTATGGTATATCAGCCAATAATTTACCATAATCTACAAACATGGCAAGTGTATGTGTCAGCTTAAATTTAAAAGGAAGCTAACAATTTAATAAAATTTAATAATTCAATTTAACGTTTTTAATAAAACAATTATTCCACTTGCGCTTGTTGGATATGAGATGATTATAGCCAACGAGGCGCTATGCG